GAGGAAAATAATCTGGAACAGCGACACTTTACCTTCTGGTAGTCGACGCAAAGGTGGAAGGTTCCACCGGACTTAGGGACCAGGACCACTCGCCCCGCCCAAGGACTCAAGCCTTGCTCCTGTAGTCGTTTGACTTCCACTTGCAGGAATTTCTTCTTCTCTGTATTAAGGCGATAAAGGGCTTGCCGTGTCGGAGAGGTTCCTCGGGTGTCTACGTCATGTTGCAGTAAGGGGCAGAGACGAGCTGTACCCCTAAAAATGTCCTAAAGCTCCTGTAGAAGACAAATGCTACACTATTGGTTGCCTGGGCGGCAGGCAAGTGTACAAGTTTAGCACTGGGATACATCAAGATTTCAGTATTGGACAATTTGGATCAGAGAAATTGAGAAAGGTCATCATCACTTACAGTATATCATCCACTCCTTTAGCTGTTTACAATGATATACAGCATCTTTACTAATCACATCCAACTCATCACTATCCCTAGTATGGTACTTCTTCCAGAGGTTTTCATGAACAATGACGCCGTGTCTTGCGCCTCACTGGGGTCTCAATAACATAATTAACATTCCCAACACTCTGTACTACACGAAAAGGATCAGATTCTTGGGAGTGAAGAGGTTGCATTGGCAAGGATAAGAGGGGCTAAGACCTAATCACCTTCCTTAACCTTAGCTGGGTGGACATGAGCATCTTCAAGAATTAACTTTAGGTGTTCCTTAAATTTATGAACATATGCACCAATTGAATCAGTATCCTTTTCACTCAGCCAGCACTCCTTAAGGACCTTTAAGAGACCTCGAATCTCATGGCCATAGATAAATATAAAGAGGCAAATCTTAAACTTTCCTGTACACTGTCCCTCACAGAGAACAACAAAACATCAATGTTTTCATCCCATTCTTGACCTGTCTAAGCAAAATGCTTTAATCATAGTTTTGAGGAAATGGTGGAGGTGTTCAATTATTCCTTATCTTTGAGAGTGAAAAGTCTCCGAGCGACAATAACAGACTCCCAAGGTTTTCATTACCTGCCCGAACAACCCAGAGGAAAAATTTTACCCCCTAATTCGACTGCACAGTGGCAGATAGACCAACCTGCGTAAAATACCTGATCAGGGCCCCAACAACACTCTTAGTGGTAATATTCCGGAGAGGAATGGCCTCGGGGTAACGGGTAACAACAGCAATGACGATTAGCAAGATTTAATGACCTCGTCTAGTCATGGGTAGTGGTCCCACACAATCTATCACTACTGAAAGGTTCTTCTACGATGGGAATCCGGTGAAGAGGAGCTGCTTTGGTACCAGTTCCAGATTTACCTTTGACCTGACAAATGTGACAGGTCCTACAGTAGGAGCTAATATCTTATTTAAGCCAGAAAAATGAGAGAGAATCGTGTATCTCTTACGTACACCAAGGTGACCGCCTACACCATCATGGATGATACTGAAGTTCTCTTGCCGTAAGGCCTCTTTCTCACAGCATGGTTTTTCACCGTGCCCGTGAACAGCCACGGCGCCGTAGAGATGATGGTTTTCGGTCGTGAAGCCAACAGATCTGCCGTGCATAGCTACGGCTCAGTCCGCTCTGGTTTGCAGTCTGTACTGAGCAGTGGAAGGCATTGGATCTCATGAGGCGTTTGCGATATCTGTACCTTCTGTATATAAGGAAAAAACGCGACAATGCAGAATCTATTGGATACATCCACTGAATGAACAGAGACACAATGGGAGCCTTTGCAACATCCCTTCAGGCAGCTACGGTCAAATTTCGACGTTTGTAATCATCTAGGCTCTTGTCCCACAAAACAGGTTTCAGTTCCACGAGATATATTAGCAGGTCTATAGCAATTTCATAAATTCTCCATTGTTGTAAATTGTTAATAGTCAGTAATTATGGACAAGTTTTCCACACGTCTCGCCACTAGGGAGTCGACAGTTGGGCTGAATTTGCAGCCGTGTGTAGACATGGGAAATTGCCGTGAGATGTGAAGACGTGTATTGACAAGCACAGATGATTACAACCGTGTACGGTCACAGGACTGGACAATGCAGTGAGACGCCATGAGTGCAACATAGTGCCTGGACGGCAGATTCGCCGTGACTCTGCCGTGTGAAAACGTACATATGAACCAGTCAGTCAACTGCAGTCCACGGCACCGTGCCGTGAACGGCCACGGCGAAGAACCGTGCTGTGTGAAAGCGGCCTAAGGGTCTAAATTTACGCATGAGCAAGCCGTACTTGAGGTAAGAATAATTAGGGAAATTGTGCAAATCATGTACACCAATAAGATGACCCTAGTGTTGTTTCAATTCGGAGTCACGAGACTGCTCTTGAATGAGTTTAGCTCTAGTGATGGGAGAGTCCCCAAAGCTGAATCAAGTTTATCACTTGCACGGGGGTCGAATAATTCCACTGTATTATTTACAACGCTGACATGGATAAAAGGTCTGCTTTGGCCAGAGGAATTGCGTTTAGCGTCCAATTTTCGACAGTTGGCTATGACATGACCAGGTTGTTTACAATAACGGCAAAATACACCATTCCTCTCACCAGAAACACCAGCTTTGCTCCTCTCAAGTGCAGTGTTCTTACGTGAAGCTGACGAGGCAGGTCGTGAAGAGATCCCCGAGGCAATCCTGGTAGCTTGCTCCTTGCGTAAACTTGAACCATATAGAATATTGATAGACTTGGATTGAGAGGACTAGAATAACGGAACCTGTTCTCTATGAAAATTATCATAATTAGTCAGAGAAATGATCAGCAGCGCAGTCCCAGCTGCGGCCAAGGTGTGGAACCCACGCTCATCTATATTAGCTCGTACCCGAGCAAGAATACGCGTTTAATCTCCTCGAATCTGAACAATTTTAATAATTCTCCATACCCGCAGATGGACAACTCACTCTCGACCCACTTTCGACACAGAAGCTGCTTCTGCCTGAAGAACTGGACGTGTTTGTATGTTGGCTTTCCGGCAGTTGCGAAACTGTTGCCGATAAACTTCGGGAACTCGATGATATACATTAAGCACTGCAGTTTTGACTATTTCGTAGTATTATTATTTACCATCAATCCCCCATTTATTCACAGGCCAATTATGAAGCTTAGTCCTCGCAGTAGTGATGATGTGTTATGCTGGGACTTAAGGAAAGTCTGCAGTGATCAGAATAATCACCCAGTGTGGGGCAAGATTAGGAAATACTTTAAAGGTCAGATTTTAGTTGCACCCAAAACAACTATATGTATAGAAGACTTCCGACTTTTACCGGACACTTTACTGTATCATAAAATATTGAACACTCATTGTCACGCTTATGGTCTAGAGGAATTGCGGATAGTTATCCCGGATTCCCGTGTCCGGACACAGAGGTTTTAAGATATATATATATATATATATATATATAAATCCTATACAACGTGGTAATGTTCACAGTGGAAATGACAACATGAGGTTGGCAAGTACTGGTCATGTACTGGCTCCAAAATGTATTTCTACTTGCACCAGTTATGTCCTCGGCGATCTTTATTGTTCTTACAATATTCTTAGGAAAAAACTGTTTTAACATTTATTATACAATTTATATTACTATTTCACAAAATGGAATCTTACCTCCTAAACAATATAAGTGTCGTATGATATCAAACACCTTCAGTAATCAAGGCTTTATTCAACTCATAAATCCATATACATCTGCAACAGAATAAAACAAAACCCAATTAGAACAAGAGAACATTTAAAGTACTGTAAAGGTAAACACAAACAATTTATTCCATAATATGACATTCACCCCTGCCAACATAATCAATCAAACATCATAGCCGTATCGCTGGGGTTCTCTTCGCTGCCGAGTAGAACGACAAAGAGGTAACTCCTGCATGATACTAGGATTCAGCAATGTTGTCCCGGTATCTCCCTCTGCAGCAACTCCCTCACCATTATCCAATGTTTCTGGCAACATTGAAGGTGAGGTTGATCCGGCAGAGATCTCTGAGGATGAGGTTCCATTAGGGCATGGAGCAAGATCACGGAGGGAAACTGAAGATTCACGTCCATCTGGATACTTGATGTGTGCATATGTTGGATTAGCCTCGAGGAGCTCCACGTCATCAACGAGAGGGTCACCTTTGATTGAGCGGACGAATCGGAGTAAGAAAACAGGACCTGGAGTCGTTAGCCATGTTGGCAGGGATGTACCCTGACAAGATCGTCTCGGAAAATTGAAAAACCTCGCGTGTGGAGTCACGTTGATGGCTGTTGAGAGCAATGATCTAATGGAGTGAAGTGCTTCAGGTAGGAGAGCCTCCCATTCAATATCCGTAACATCTCGAGATTTGGCAGCTAAACATATGGACTTACAGATTATGCCATCGTACTGTTCTATTTGACTGTTTCCTGTTGGGTGGTAAGGTGTAGTTTTGCTGGACGCCACTCCACGACTAGCGAGATGGGTTTTCACTTCATGAGACATAAATGCACTTCCTCGATCAGAGTGGACAAAACTCGCCATACCACAAAGCGAGAAGATGGTGTCCAGACATCTGATGACAGTTGAGGATGTCATGTCAGCACATGGAATAGCAAAGGGAAACCTGGAATATTCATCCATAGCAGTAAAGAGATATGAGTTTCTCGTGCCTGATGGAAGAGGACCTTTGAAGTCAATGCTCAGTCTATCCATTGGATGAGTAGCTTTGATAAGGGTATTTTCAGTAGGCCTGTGAAATGTTGGCTTGATTTCAGCACATACACGACAAGTTGAACAGACCTTTTTCACATCCTCCGTAGAAAATGGGAGGTTCTTTGTCCGGACAAAATGAAGCATTCTGACAACCCCCGGGTGGCAGAGCCCTTCATGGATGACAGTTAGGTTTGACGATGAGATGGCTCCGCAGAAAACTTGGGTGAAAGTAGTCTCTACCTGGCCGATATCAAATGGAATAGTTAAAACAACCGAGTTCGAGCCGCCACCCTTGTATCTTGTCATAAATGCAACTGATCACTGGTCAGTAACAATGGTGAAGTGCCGTCCCAACAACGGGTGAGACCACTTTCTCACCGCTTCAATTATTGCAGTCGGCTCCTCAACAGGAGGATAGTGAATCTCACTGCCAGATAACATCCGAGACATGAAGGCTACTGGCCGACCAGTTTGATTCAAAGTAGCAGATGAAGGTTCCAAGTGTTCCCTGAAGAAGGCAGTGATGGGTAAGGAAACACCGGGGAACACTGAAGTCCATTTATTAACGGATAGGAGAAATACAAGTGGTGACTAGCATGTGCCATGCACTGCCCACAGAGTCAGACTGAGACTGCCTTGCTATATGGCAGCCTCGGGGGCAATGTTGCCACATAACACGTGCAGTGTTGCCACGTGATTACATATATAAATGCTACTCGGCACAGTAACTTAGATACATAACCTACACCTCCCTCCCCCCCTCACGCTCATAGTCTTTGTCTTGAGCGGACTTCTTAGTCCTAAGTCGCTCCGAGCGTCGAGGTGCACTGTGGGACGGATCCTCGTGAGGTGTAGGGGACTCGTCCTCGGTCAGGGGGCCAGCAGCAGGGGGTGGGACTGGCCGGAGGAAGCGGCGGTTCCTCCACCAGACACGGCCGCTCGGCATCCTGACCTTGTAGTCCCGCGACCGGCCGACGCCCATCACTATGCCCACCTTGTCCCAACGTGTCGTCGTCGGGTCCTGGACGCGGACAAGGGCACCAATCTCCAGTGGCTGAAGAGGGCGGGCACGGTCGTCATACCGAGCCTTGGCGTCCTGGGCACGTGAAGCGGCGCGGTGGTCGCAGCTCTCGGCTCTGGTCTGCCACTCCTTCGCAAAGGCCTTGGCGTGTGCAGGAACGCAAGAGCGGAGAGGGTGACCATACAGGATCTGGGCAGGGGAGCGCCCTGTGTGGGTGGGAGTATTACGAACCTCCAGGATTCCTTTGTCAAACGCCTCACAGTCTATGTTGCCTGAAGGGCCACCTTGAGGATGAGGTGCTTGACTGTCTTGACCGCAGCCTCAGCATGGCCGTTTGACTGTGGGTAGTGGGGTGTTGACACGATGTGGCGGACTCCCCAACGCTCCAGGAATCCTGTGAAGTCCCGGCTGGTGAACTGTGGCCCATTGTCCGTCCGCAGACGTACGGGGACGCCCAGATCACGAAAGAGGTGCCGGAAGTGGCGAATGGTGGCCGCGGACGTCGTGTCCGAGCCACAGACTACCACCACAGGCCAGCCAGAGAGTCAGTCGGCGACAATTAGGAAATGTTTCCCAGCTGTGTTGAAGAAATCTGCCGACACGGATTCGAAGGGCCTGGTGGGTTCGTCGTCGCACAAAAGGGGCTCCTGCTGTTGACTGGGCTGCATGATCTGGCACGGCTCACAGGCACGGACCGTATTGACGATATCCGCGTCAATGCCGGGCCAGTACACAGCCTGCCTTGCGCGGCGCTTGGTGGCCTCTGCTCCACGATGGCTGTCGTGTAAGCGGGCCAGAACGCGACGACGGAGAGCTGCAGGGACGACCACACGGGCACCGTACAGGACGAGGTCCCCATCTGCGTAGAGGTCCTCAAGTATCTTCCAATATGGGCGTAAGGCGTTGTGGAGGTCAAAACGGTCGCGAGGGAACCCAGTCCTCACACTCTCCAAGAGCTGAATGTAGGAGGGCTCGTCGCGTGCCGCGGTCCGTAGTTCCTCAAGGGCCAGATCGCTGTCAGGTGGCGACACTGAGGACTGGGTGCTGGCGAGGGACTGTACGGCCTGCAAAGTGACGATGTTGCTAACGGAGAAACCGGCCTCGGTGCTGAGCATCTCGTCTTCAGGTGTCGGGCGGCAGACTGGGGAGCGGGAGAGGGCATCCGGGATGCACAACTCCTTACCTGCGCGCCAAGCCGCGGTAAAGACGAAGGCCAAAATCTTCTCCTTCAAGCGCTGGAGGCGGGGATTCTCGATGGCGTCCAGAGAATAGTGATTAAGAATGGGGACCAAGGGCCTGTGGTCTGTGATGAGGTCGAAGTGCTGTAGGCCAATCAAGTAAAATTTGCACTTCGATAAGGCCCATACCACTGCCAGCAGCTCCAGCTCGATGGTAGCATAGCGAGACTCAGCATTGGTGAGGAAGCGAGAGCCACACTGTACGAGCCGGTACTTTCCTCCACCGTGATCCTGGAGAAGGGCGTAACCAACCCCGTACAGGCGCGAGGCGTCTGTCTGGAGGACGGTGGGGAGCGCTGGGTCGAAAGTAGCGAGGATAGGTGGACTTGACAGGGCCTCCTTCACCTTATGAAAGGCGAGGTCGTGGTCAGGGGTCCACGTGAAAGCCCTCTTGGGGCTCATCAGGGGACGGAGAGGCCCGGCAGCGGCGGAGACGTCAGGAGAAAATTCTGCCAGCTGGTTCACCAGGCCCATGAAAGACCTGAGATCCGTAAGGTTGGCAGGTTTTGCAAAGACCGCTATGGCGCGAACTTTCTACGGGTCTGCAGCAATGCCATCCCTTGAGAGTCGATAGCCGCAGAAAGACACTGCAGGTGCGGCCAAGACGAACTTCTCGTCATTCAGAGTGATGCCGTGCGCCCTACACCTGGTCAGTACCTCGTCGATGCGGCGAAGATGCGTCAGGTAGTCCTCATCGTAGAGGAGGACGTCATCCACTACCTTCACGCAGTTGGTCACGCCTTGAAATGCCATGTCACCACGGAGACAGAAGGCGTCCCCCGTAGCAACGAATCTCATAGGGCCACGGCAGTAGCGGAAGCGTCCGTAAGGCGTGATGAAAGTGGTCAGTGGCTGATCCTCCTTCTTCAGTGGGATCTGCCAGTAACCACAGAGGGCGTCCATTGTCGAGAAGTGCCGTACCTTCGGGTCCACACTCCGTATAGCTGCAAAAGGTGTGGGTGAAGGGTGGGCGGGACGGGACACCTGGATGTTAAGCTTAGACAAGTCGGTAGTAATCCGCACTCCACCGTTAGTTTTAGCCACAGCGACTAGAGGGTGGCACCAAGGGGACGGGTCGTCACCAACGGGTACAATGACACCCTGGGCCACCATGGAATCCAGTTCCTTCTTGACTGAATCCCTGAAGGCGAGGGGGATCAACCGGGGAGTGTGTATGGCAAACGGCTGTGCATCTTCCCGCAGGTGTATCCTCATAGGCGGACCCGCCAAAGCCTTCAGTGGCGCGGTCCGTAGGGCCTCCTTCGTCACCAGCACATCCGAGTACTATTTCAGGAAGTAGGCCCTTGCGGCTGAAGGAGACGTCTCGCTGTGAAGAGGAAGCAGCCGTGACTTGGGTGGAGGCGGGGCGGGAGTGGACGCGGGTTCTGGGCAGCTCTGTGCAGCAGTGCCAGGCGTGTCGCTCGTTGACTCACGCACCCTGCTGGCGGTGTACCGAGCAGCTGGGATCTGCTCGGGAAAGTCTCTGGGCACCACGCCTAACTCCTTGCAGTGCTCCCACGACAACAAGAGTGTAGCGAGAGTAGGCTGCACGTCGATCCATCCGTGACACGACCTGTCGCCGTAAGTGATCTCCGCTTGAAAGGAGCCCACAGCGTCCGGCATCTGGGAACCGTCCACATTGTAGTACTGCAGCTGCGGCAGTGGTCCCAGGCCGCGTTTGGTGAGGCCCAGTTTCTGGAGGTGCTTCAGGCCTATCACCGTAGTATCAGCGCTGGTGTCCAGGATCACCTCGATGTGACCCGACACATCACCGTGTGTGACGGCGACGTGGATGGTAGGGGAAGGGGTAGCCCTGGGGCGTGTGGTCGATTCCACGCTCCTCATGTGACTCAGCTGCTGCTTGGGGCTGCGTGGGCCATCTGAAGGGGGCTGCGTGCGAACCACCCCGAGGGAAGTGCGCTGCTTTCCTCCTCGTCTCGGGCTTTTGGGCTTGGGTTGGCGGCAGCACTTGTCGTAGTGTCCATAGCGACCGCAGGCCTGACACTTGCGGCCTCGTGCAGGGCACCTGTCTGTGTTAAACCAGTGGCCCTTACGGTCACATCCACGACACAGTGCGTCGGCGGCCGGGCATGTCTTGGGGCCATGCTGCTTTCCACAGCTGCCAAAGGAAGCACTAGGCGGAGGCGTGGAAGAACGTGCGGCAGCCTTCACGTTGTTGACCGCCTTCTTACCCTTCTTGTATTGTGAGATAGCTCTCACAGCAGGTGGGGCCCGTAAGGCAGAGGTGGCGGACTTGGTGGCCTCGTATGACCGACATTCAGTCACTACCACCTGGAGTGTGGAGGAAGCGTCCAGGGGGATGAGTCGCTGCTCCAACTCTTCTTGCCTGTCACCTGTCAAGATCCCATGCTTGATCCAGGCTTCCTCACATTCCCGGCTGTGCGCCTTGCAGACGTCGATCTCCTCCGACAAACTCTTCAAACGTACAAAAAAGTCGTCAAAGGATTCGTTCTCCACCTGCTTGCAGCTGGTGAAGGCGTGGCGACGCAAGGCCTCGTTATTCCGACCTTTAACGTGCTCCTGTAAAGGGTCGAGCACATCCGTCACTGAAGACGTAGAATCGGGAGGCACTTGCAACGTGTGCTCCAAAACTCTCTGGGTCTCCAGCGACAAACACATCCTCAGTTGATGAGCTGTTTGTTTGGAGGCATGCTGTCAAGGTCCACCATTGTGGAGTAATCTGTCCACCGCCGCCTCCACTCACGAAAAAGCTGAAACGTGACGTCTGGTGAGAGGGCGGGTGGGGGTTGAACAGATGCCTTGGGAGCTGTTGGAGTAGCAAGAGTACCTGGAGGACACTGGTGTGGTGGAGAAGGGAGGGTACTGGCGCCTTGGTGCGCGAGTGAGGGAGGGTGGGTTAGCGCCAGGGTCGCCAATATTGCATCAAAGTGCGCCTTTTCCTCCTCTCTTCGTGTCTCCTCCCTCTGAAGTTCCATCTCTCTGCGTCTCTCGTCCCTGTAGTCCATCCACCTCAGAATTGTGGTAATGTCCGTCGCTGGAGGTGAAGGATGAGGGGCGGTGGGCGCAGAAGCTCCATCTGTGCCCGGTAGAGGAGAAGGTGGTGGGGAGTCGTGTCTCCCATCTTGACGTTGTCCCTTCTCATCTCCCATCTTAGTATGCTTGAACCGCGCTGTTTAGTATATAAAGTGGCGCCTCATCAGCTCGAACCACATATATATGACATAAACAGCGCAGAAATAACGCATAGAGTCCACTGTTCTGTCCGTGAGTGCGTGCGTGCGTGCGTGTGTGTGTGTGTGTGTGTTTGAGATAGCGGATGCGGTGGCCTTAGGCTGGAGCTGCCGCGGAGGCAAGAACGTCAGTGTCTCCCCGGATGTCACGGGAGAAGGGTGTACGCCTGCGTGCTCCGTGGATACCACAAAAAACAGGCCAATGCTCAACTCTCAGCTCTAGACACACTAATACACTGACACTAACACTGCCACCGTCACTAAAACGCACTGTGACGGAGCAACACTGCACGTAGAGGCGAAACACAACGCAACACAACACAACACACTAAGAGTCGACGCGCACATTGCCGGCAGTCGCACATCGCCGGCTAACTGTCCATTGTTCACACACTTGTAAGTCCACAGATCCTACTCACTGCACCATGAAGGTTCCAAGTGTTCCCTGAAGAAGGCAGTGATGGGTTGGGAAACACCGGGTAACACTGAAGTCCATTTATTAACGGATAGGAGAAATACAAGTGGTGACTAGCGTGTGCCATGCACGGCCCACAGAGTCAGACTGAGACTGCCTTGCCATATGGCAGCCTCGGGGCAATGTTGCCACATAACACGTGCAGTGTTGCCACGTGATTACATATATAAATGCTACTCGGCACAATAGCTTAGATACATAACCTACAGCAGACACTGCCACATCCGACTCATCACACTCCACAACAAATGGGATGGCATGGTCAATGCTATTTAGGGCAGCTTCCCCAAGTAGTTTCTTCAAGACATCAAAAGCTGTGAGGGCTTAACGGTCCAGAGGAAAAGATTTAGCCTTGTAGAGAGGCCGTGCCTTGTCTGAAAACTCTGGGACCACTTAGCGTACATACCAAGAACACGTTGAAGAGTCGATCGGCTTGTAGGTGGTGGAAGTTCTTGCAGTGGTTTTAGCCTTTCAGGATCTGGTTTAATTTGACCATTTCCAAGTTGATAACCCAGAAGATTGATCGATGTTGCTGATGTTGTAGATTTGGATGTATTGAGTGTCAGCTTCCTTTCCTCAGCAGCAGCAAGAAATTTCTCAAGGTTTGCGTCATGTTCTTTCTGATCCCGACCATCTATGGTACTATTGTCAAGGTAGGGAAATGTGTCACATAGATTCTCCTCCTCCACGAACTTGTCTATGGCTCTTTGAAAAACGGCAACACCATAAGTGACACCAAATGGTACACGTGTGAATTGATACAGTCTGCCATGTGCTTCAAATGCTGTAAAGGGTTTATCAGACTCGCTTATGCGTAGTTGATGGTATGCGCTCTTTAGGACAAATGTTGAAAACACGTGGTACTTAGCAAGAGTGTTGACCATGGTTTCAATGTTTGGCAATGGATATGCGTTGAGATTGGTGTAAATGTTCACCGTAGAAGAGTCGTCGATGCTCATTCGTTTTCTGTGACAGCCTGAATCATCTCTTGCAATCACCACCTGTGCACGCCAAGGTGATGTACTTGATTCTATGATGCCTTCGAACAGTAAGCGTTGTATTTCTTTGGTAATGAGCTTTTGGTCATCAGGGCTAAACTTCCTAGATTTGGTGGCTATCGGCTTTGCATCTCTTTGCATGTTTGCAAATAACAGTGGTTCTGACATGCCTGCTGATGCCAGGCTACATACAGGCTTGTTACCAATGTTGGAAATCTTGAGCTCAGGTCTGGGTCCTCCATACTCTTTGGTAACTGAGGAGTGTTGTTTTTGGAAATCTATGCAAAGAATAACATCACCACAAAGATTCTCAATGACGCCCAGACGTGTGTTTGAATAATGACTGTCATTCACATAGAGATCCACCGTCCATTCACTTATCACAGAAGCCGTTGAAGAAGACATTGCCAGGGTTATGCTTTGGGAAACGGGTTTGATGTGAAGCTTAAGCCGATGGGCCACTCTCTTGTCAATGAAACTCTCAGAACTTGCCAAATCAATAAGGCCAGAGATTCGTCTTCCATTTACCTTTAAGTTTGTAGCAGAGCAATTCAGGCAATGAGGAACAGCAGCTGAGATGGCACAAAGAGTAGGTGATGAAATTGATGCCGTGACCTGTTTCTTACCCTCAGTCTGACAGACTTTTGCCCAGTGCCCTCTTTTTCCACATGAAGAGCAATCACTATCTTTAGCTGGACATCTCGCCCGTAAATGAAGACTGCCACCACAAAACCAACATCGTTTCTTAGTGGTCATACTAGCAAGTGTTGAGTCCTCAACTGGATGTATATCTTGTTGATTAGTGTGTGGTGACTTAACAGTTTCCTCCACACATCCTGAAGCTGCTGCAATGACAGGGCTTAATGGCTGGAAGGCTTCCGAAGTACGCTGTGCAAGATCCAAGGCTCTAGCTTGATCAAAGGCTTGAGAGAGTGTGAGAGCCAGATTTCCAATAGACGTTGACGTATATTTGCAGAAGACAGTCCGTTGATGAAGGCATCCCGTACTAACTCTTCACGATATTCTTCGGCCGTGACAGCTTTTAGAGTACAATCTTTGCTGAGTCTGTGCAAGTCGCGAAGAAATTCATCTAGTGTTTCGGAAGGACGCTGACGTCTTGTGGCGAGCTGGTGTCTGGTGAATATCTCATTTTTCTTTTTCACATACACCTTTTCCAACACTTGTATAGCTGTGTCAAACTCCGTAGCATCAGCAAAGTATTCATGCACAGTAGCAGACACATATTTTGTCAATCATCGTAGTTTGTCATGCGCTCTGTCTCCATACTCATAAATAAAGTTTTCAAAAGTTTTACCCCAATGCTTGTATTCCTTCTCAGCAGCTGTTGAATTTGGATCAACATCAAGCTTGTCGGGGCAGAATATGCGTTCCATGTTGCTAGTAGAATATGAGTTGAATAAATTGTCGTATGATATCAAACACCTTCAGTAATCAAGGCTTTATTCAACTCATAAATCCATATACATCTGCAACAGAACAAAACAAAACCCAGTTAGAACAAGAGAACATTTAAAGTAAAGGTAAACACAAACATAATTTATTCCATAATATGACAATTAGCAAATCATTATTCTGTTGATTCAAAGTTGTAAACAAATCAGACGACAGCTGGTCACAGTAGCGCCTACATACATCAGGCAAACATACTATATATACTATATACTATACATGATTTTATATGTTTTTAACATCGGATTACCCTGGGGATTTTTCTTGGTAAATGTTTTGAAGTACAAACAGACATTTGGCAGCACCCTATGTCAAATATGGCTACCAAATCCCAACAGATATGCGATGTTAAGAAAAAGAAAGCATTAACCACACAATTATAGTACACAAAAAAAAACAGAGCAGAGAGAAAGCAGAACAGAAAGAAAAACATAAAGTATAAAACTCACTATAACTAAATGTACAAAATAAAAACATACATTAACAAACATCAAGACTAGTATTATCTAAGAAAAACTATTAAGGTAATAAGCATACCCTTCATTGATGCAATATCCCATATTGATACCTATAAAGTTAAGCTTCACCCTGAAACAAATGAAAATAATAAACATCTCTACCTACACACACATACATCACATAATAATGCAAGTATTAATACGTGTATGCATTCACATATCTTTTAGTATATCAAATCTACAGTACATATATATTTTATTCCCGTCAGTTAACAATTTTGTTAAGCTTTCTATTTATTCTCTTTTTATTGTTACGTCTCCTTTTCACATGTACATGGGAAAGACAATACTGACACATAGACGCCCTCTAACCTGCTGCCTCTCATCTCTCACTCCACCTGCATCACAGGCGCCTAGCAACAGATGGCATCACCTATCAGTCAATCAAAATCGCCCACGATGCGGGCCCACTTAAGGCCCTGCCGGCCGACAATCACCACCGCAGCAGACACACACATACTAAAATACCCGTATAAGAAAATATACTCCTTCAAACTCTTTACGATAACATATCACCTACTACACTGCTACAGACGACGATTCGGACAGAACAAACACAACCTCACACCAGCACAAGCAGACATCACCACGAAGTGCACATATCATTATGATCCTCGGCCTCCGCCACGACCAGGAAATGCACTGGGTAAGTCTCGTAAATGTCGTCCAGGCATACAGGACACACAACTCCCAAGAGTTCTGGCAAAGGATTGCCAAGCTGATGGGGACAACTCGTCCACCCTTCGATTATATCTACAGGTTAACGGCAGACGAATCAGAGATCCAGTTGAAGTAGCGAAAACCTTCAAACAACACTGGGAACACTACATGACAAGATTTACACCAGAAAACACCAACCTCACAGAAAAACATATCCTCACCACAAGCACTTGACACAACAAAGAAGAAAACAGTAGGTGACAGCAACATAGGACACAAAATCTTAAAGCACCTACCTTCTACAACACAAAATATACCTACAAGCTACTTCTCCAAACTCTTCAAGACACCCACAGCCATCAGGATCTCGAAACCAGACAAAATCCACACAGATAAAATTACAGATCGATCAGCCGTCTAGAGGTCTTAGGTAAAACATTTGAAAGACTATACAACAGACGCCTCAGACACCACCTTGAAGTCGAAGAACTACTTTCCTACAAACAGATCGGATTCAGGACACACCATTTAACCTAGTAACAAATTACCTTTGCATGAACAAAGGAGCATACAAGACAGTACAAAATATGTACCAATTTTAGCCTTCCCAACAAATCACAGCAGCTCCTATGCAACTTCCTAACCTGACAGGAAAATGCTGATTTAATACAAATATGCACACTCAGACTATTTCCCGATGTACACAGAAGTCCCACCAAAAACTCGTCCTCTCCCTAACACTGTACAGTCACCTCATAAGTCCGCGTCTCCTTCCGAACTGAATCAGTATCGAACCTAAATGAGATAATGCAGCACATGGTGTGTTAAGACCATTAACTACATACACCAGTGAGCATTCTTGGTTATTATATCCTTTACCTGAGGATGTTATGCATATATCCCATAACTCTCCATTCTGAATATAATTTTCATGGAGGTTGGGAAGCAAAAATACATTAAACAGATAACCAAGAAAGGTAGAGTAAGGAAGCTTCACTCTCCAAACAACTGCTTGCCGCCCAAAAAATAGCATCAAATCACTAACTGGGCCACCGTCGCGTGAGTGTCGTCTGCAACAAAGACTGTGTTTTGTTGTTTGACGTCATCTGGCAGGACATTCAAGATTCGTTCAGTGTGACAAAACCAAAGTTACAGGAAATGGCTCCACGTGGTTGTCATGGTTGTGTTGTTTGTAGAAAGGACAAGAAAAGCCACAGCCACTTAAAATTCCACCTCTTTCCTTAGGATAAAGACCGGTAAGATTATAATTATGTCATGGAGATAAGGGAGTTAAGACTAGTTTAAGTTACCATGGCATTGGTCGCTGACGGTGGTGTCACTGACTATCAGTAACTGACAGAAAATTAAGTTTAGATCTTCAATAAGCTTAATCTGAAACTTCATGCCAAACCTATGATATGCTAAATCTAAGCATTTTTCGTTTGGTCAAGACAAGAATATGTATTGACAACGCAATAACCGATAGTTATAGTATTTATTAATTATTAGTATACAATATCCCTCAGCGCAAGAAGAGGTCATGGTAGTCATGATACCGATAGTAAAATTTAATATCACTGCAGTATATTCGATATTTACATTGTTAACACTAATATGTAAACAATACATGATGCATTTTGAGAAAATATTGACAAGAAATAAGTTTATCATTCATGTTATCGAGTAATAAAATGGATAAGGAATTTGATTTAATAAACATTTATACATAAAAAAATGTGTGATTTTAACTACATTAATTTTTTTAAGAATTTTGAGGTATTCAAACTAAGGGTATTTCTATACAATACCTGCACCTGGGACACTGCCTCCCATGTGGGGGGCCTGCTCTCTCCCCTCCCGAGAGGCAGCTTCCTTGGTGGGGCAGCGCCTCGCGCTATGCATTCCCGCGCAGATGCCGCAGGTGGCTGTCTTGTGACAGTATTTCGCCACATGATTGACCCCGAAGCAGTTGTAGCACACCACAGGGGGAGGAGTCCACCGACTGATGTTATTAGGGGTACCATACATGCCAAAGAAGCAGTATTCCTCAGGAGGTGGTTCCTTCCTTTTCCAAACAATGATGATCCTACTAAGTTGTGCACCATCCTTATAAAGTCTTCTTGCTCTGTGGACGCCCGGAAGTGACAGAGCGCCACTGGGGGGAATACCCTTGGGGAAATGGGTAACAATGTATTCCTTCATTTTTTTGGGTCGGACAGGTTCATCTCGCTTAATGCGATCTAGTGAGCCGACCTTTCCATCAATGAAGCGTTGGATAGCATCCGTCTCCTCTTGGCCTACATAGACGAAACGAGGGGCATTACCTGGCATGACAACATTCAGCTTAGTCGTGCAATATTCCTCATTCAGGGCGCTCAACCATTTAATCTTCATCAAATTGGTTGTGTTCTCGGGGAAGGCAAAGCGCATGTACAGTAGTTTGCCCGGGGAGCAATGGGAGGGATGAACCTATTGGCTCTACTCTGCTTCCTTCCCTGGGTCCTCATTATGCGTTTCTGCAAACGAGTTTTAAACTTCTGAAAGCCAGCTTCTGTGTCGCCATGACTGTCCTCCTCATCTCCTTCATTTACTTCGTCAGGAACATCAGCAGAGCGCCGCCCGGCGACGACTCCTGCCATGATTAGATTTAAATGGAATCCAGGTCTTATACACTGGGGCAGAGAGGTGATATGTAGGCCAGCGGTGTCCTTGAGTAACACTGATAGGAGTTATACCCAATATTTACCAACTCACTTGTTAAATTCCTGTTCCCACCAGCCCAGTATAACCACCGTAGTCAAGGGAAGCGTGATGCAATAACCCTCTGCAAAAGTCGAATGAGCTAATAACAAAGTGGGCTCATGTGTCTAGCTTTGACATGTTACCAGCTAGGACTCGGGACTCCTTGATGCGAAGTCTGTAGAGAGAAGTAATCTTATTTAATGCTGGGCAAACTGCACGATGAGTGTGATGTTCCATATACTGAGTGGGAGCTTGACGCTGCCCTCCCCAGGGATAGGTCTACTTCCCCTGGAGCGGACTGAGTCACCAACAACATCGTTAGACTACTAAGGCGCGTGCCAGGCAATCCATTGTTGGTATTGTACAATATGAGTCATGCCGAGGGCCAACTACCCACATCATGGACCAGCAGTATTGTTGTACCAATACCGAAACCAGGACAGCCTGATGCTTTTCGTCCCATATCACTAACCAGCTGCCTGTGTAAAACCTTTGAGAGGATGGTTCTTGGCAGACTCTTGTATAGAATCAGAGAACACATGTCTCCTAACATAAATGGCTTCACCCATGCTAAAGGTGTACATAATTGCATCACCACATTCTTAGCTGTGCATGGTGAACAAAGGCACAGATACACCACATTTCCTGACCTAAAAGCTGCATTTGATATTGCCACTAGGCAACTGATATTGTACGAACTAGCCAAATGGATATAGGAGGTAGGCTGTTACACTGGATAAGTGGTTACCTAACCAACAGAGGGGCTGCTGCACTGTTTCAGGGTTACAAAAGTGAAGTTAAAGATATGCAACTTGGTACCCCTCAAGGTGGAGTACTTAGCCCCACTTTGTTCAATGTTCTTATGAATGCATTATTAAATTTAATACCAGACAACCCCAGCAATATCTTAATCAGCTATGCTGATGATATTCTTATACATACTAAAACTCATCGTGAAATGCAAACACCCTGAACCATGTATACGCAGCCTGAGAGAACCTCGG